CTGTGGGGCCTGGTGTGAAGGGGCGTGGGACAGGGTGCTCTTTGTGGCGCTGGAGTGGCACGCTCAGGATAGGAAGGCACATGTACTTGTGTGTGCCTTTGAGGGTGGAGGTTTCTGTGCGGCCTGGAGGAGGGAGCTTTTCTGTCTGGTTGTGTGTGTGCGTGTGTGTGTGTGTGTGTGTGTGTGCGTGTGGGCCCACGCGTGCTTATTTTTGCATTGACTTAATTTCTGTTTGTGTGTTTCTGTTTGGAGAGGGCGTGGGCATGTGGCCCTTTCGTGTGTCTCACCATGGGCATCAGGTGGCAGCGCGGAGCATGCCCATGCTCTCAAATGTGTGTGCGTGCTCTACTACCCCCAATTCAAGTATTAAGGGTCTAGGGTGGCCCAGGTTTTCCTGCGGAGGGTAATTCACCTGGGGAAGATAACTAAAAAAAACCCTTTCTCTCCTCGGCTGTGGCACGTGATCTTGTGACCTGACCTGGCCCCACCCACAGCGGGTTCTTTGGGGAGCCTGATGCCTTCCCTATGTTCACCAACAACAACCGCATGAAGAGGAGACCCTCGCCCTATGAGATGGAGATTACGGATGGTGAGTCTGCCCCCCTCACCTGGTACCCACCCCTGTGCTGGACAGAACCCCCTGAGGAAGGGCTAATCCCCAGGCGAAGCACCTGGGGAGGGATTTCTGAGCCCCAAGCTGCAAAGCCCATCATCTGGCAACTGAGCTGGGATCTGGGGGGTGTCACGGGTGCCACTTACAGCCCTGGGAAGAGGGGCCCTGAGGGTGCCTAACCTAAACCTCTAGCCTCAGTCGGAGTCCCAGCTCTGGACTCCAGCCCTGCAGCTCCACAAAGATCCAGGAGGGAGCAGGCAGGGCAAAAACACTGGTGTCCCCTGACTACTCACTGCCACTCAGGGACTTTCTGCCCCTCAACTTAGGAGCCTAGGGTCTGCTCTACCCGAAACTGTACCTCTTAGAATCCTTGCCCACATCCCTCCATCATGGGACCCTCTTGTTCTCTGTCCCACACTCTGGACAGAGACCTAGAGTTCAAGTCCTGGCATCACAGATCCTACCCTCCCCCTAGCTTCCCTGGGGTGTAGAGGTGGGGGGCTCAGCACTGCTATTGTGAATTGCTTGGATACTCTTTGGCCCTGAACTAGCCGAGAGACTTTTCTGTGACTTGGTGTAGTAGATAGGTTCTACCACTGGGGGGCGGGAGAGCAATCTCAGAGGTGAGGGACTTGGAACAACAAATCCTTGAAAGGACAGGACAGTATTTCAGCGTGCCTGGGGCTTGGGGTACCATAGGAAGGGCAGTGTGATCCCTTGCCCCAGGCTGGAGGTTGGCAGGGGATATACTGAATGGCATAGTGGTGAACCTCAAAGTCAGCAGCTGCTCCGCAGGAGAAAGACGAGGCTTTCTACTCTGTACTAGTCTCAGAAACCCACAGAGGCAGTTCTACCCGGTCCTACAGGGTCCTGTTGAGTCAGAAGTGACTCAATAGCAGTTAACAACTTTGGGACTGAGGGGAGCTCTCTGGTGTTTTGGAGAAGAGGGGGCCAGAGTGCGGACAATGGAACAGATTTCTGAAACGCCCAGGCCAGATTGGTCAGGGGCTGTGAAGTCAAGAGGGAAGGAGGATGGAAGTATTACTGCTGCTAGGTTAGAGAGAGGTCTCACGGCCAGTCTAGCGGTGATGGAGGTGGGCAGAAGCAGCTCTGAAGTTCCCCAGGGAAGAGACATTTCCTACAAGGGGAGAGGCGTTGCAAAGTCAATCTCTCTCTCTCTGAGGGGGTTGGGAAAATCCTGGGGAAGCAATTACCCATAAATGTTATCAGTATTTACTGAGCATCTCCTTATTGCTTGGCTAGGGAGAGAGAGGAGGACGCCCCTGTATGGACAGACTTAGGGAGGAGCAAGGTGCTGGGAGATGGGCAGTCCCTGGGAGGCAGACGGAGCGCATTAAGCTGGAGTGTACCTGGGCAGAGAGAGGGCGTGCATGAGCAGGATGCTGGGTATTGAAGTTCAGAGACTGACGGGGAAAGAGTCCGTGGAAGTGGCACTGATATAAGATGCGCAGTCGGGGTTTGACGTGGACTCAGTCCCCTCATCTGTAAAATTGGGAGATTAGCCACTTCCTCCCACATTGTTGAGAGGATACAAAGGGGGTAAAGAGTCTTTAGTGCCTGCCTCAGGGAAGGTGTCGAGGACATGTGAGTGCTCACCCCCACCTGTCCCCTTCCCTTGCTTTTCGGGATGCTGTGGAAAGGTGTAGGGGACAGTAAACCCCTTTCCCCAAGAGACTGGGGCCTACCGGACACCAGGATCTTGTTTGTCTTATTCACCACTCTACTGTCAGCCTCCAGGCCAGAACTGGCAAGGTGGGGCAGGGGCAGGGAAGCCGTTGGTTACAGTCCTTGCTGCCAATGGACATTGTGTGCTGAGTTTTCATCGGTCCTCACCACACGCCCAGGAGGTAAATAATAATATTATTTCCATTTGACAGATGAGGGAATTGAGGCTCAGAGAGGTTAAGCAGCCTGCTCAAGACCACTCAGCTGAGTCTTGGACCATCCCCATAGCACTGCTCTGAATCCTGACCTGGTTCTCGACCCCACCCCTGCCCCCCTTATGGAGCGTGTCTAGCTTGAACTGCAACAGCAGCTACGACATCCCTGCCCCCCACCCACCCAGAGGTTCCCTCAAGACCAACGAGCAGCAGCTGGGTCAGGGTATGGGGGCTGGTCCTCCCTGTCTCCTAGCTGAGGGTGCCCCTCCATCCGATCTGGAAGCCAGAGAACATCAAGTTGTTTCCTGTGAGGCAGGACTGGCCAGCAGGTGTGCTGTGTGTGTCCAGCCTGGGTCTGGCCTCTGGCAAAGTGTCCACTGGGCTGGGACCTGGTGGGATTTGGAAAAGACAGCTTTGACAGCACCATGGGCAGGGGAAAGTGACATCCCCTGGGGGAACGATAGTGCTCAACCCATGCGGAGAACATACAGGAGAGCGCAAGGGAGACAAGGGAGACATGTCAGCCCAGCCCTGCTGGGTCACAGGACTGACTCCTGAGGCAAGGTCAGCCTCTGTCCTGGCTCCAAACTGCACAATAAGCAGGGACCCTTAAGGCCCTCCCCTCCCCTTCTCCTCTACCAGTTTCTGCCATCGGAGGTCTGGCTCCAGGTAAATACTCCAGGACTGGCAGTGCCCTCATGTGTGGAGCTTCCCCAGAACTGCGTGAGCCTGGCTTGGGGCCTCTGTGTTGGGGAGGGAAGCATCCCTTTGGCCTGGGAGCTCCGGAGCACTACACGGTGCTCCTCCAAGACACCTTCCCCGGCTTTGGGAGTCCCAGGCAGGCCCAGGGCTCTGCACTGTCAACATTGAGACCTGTGCTGGGCCCTGCCACCGCTCTACCACCGCAGTCCCTGTCCCATGTCCATTGCTGAAAGGACCTTGCTGAGGTGGACCTAGGACGCCTGCCTGGGCCTTCAGACCCCGAGTGCGCGTGTCTGTACTTGTCTCCTTGAGGAATGTAGGCCCTCTTCACTCTGGTCTCTATCCTCCCTCCGGGCCCCACTTGACACCGCACTAAGTCAGTCTGCACACACGGACTGCGTTTTGCCCCTGGGCTTTCCATCACCCTTAGAGTAAAATGCCCACATCTTATGGCAGGGCCCCGTGGGATCTGAACCCTGCCTGCTTGATCTTGTGGTGCTGGTCTAGCTAGTGATCTCCCTGGAAAAGCGTGAGTGTGTGTAGGAGAGAGAAAGCCTAGCCTCGGTGGCATCAGTCACTGTCCAGCTTTGAGCCTTTCCTCTGCGTACATGCCCCGCTTTTTCTCTCCCCCTGCACACCTGGTTCTTCTTCAGTCCTGCTGTTGTCAGGCGCCATCCAGGCCTCGCTAACTCCGGCCGCCTCACGTGCAGTAGACGAGAACTGCCTGCCTTGGCGCCATCCTCCCCATCCCCGTTCCACTGGAGCCTGACTTCGTGCCCATCAGCTCATGGAGGATCTCCCGCTTTGTCACTGACCCTCGACATAACCCAGGGGCTGGTGAACTGTTGCCGTCCTGGCCCCAAGGAGACTTCTGGCTGTACTTCTTCCCAGAGATCTGTTTGCTCTGCTGGCAGCCCACAGCACTTCGAATGTCCTGCTCCAGCGCCATAATGCATAAGCACAGATTCTAACCCTCTCTTCCTTACTCGTCACACGAGGCGCTGGACAAGCCCCGTGGTTGGCCTCAGGCACCCCTAGCCCTCCAGCTGGCCTCTTTGTTCTCTAGCACTTTCAACAGCAGTGCGCCCCTTTCTTTCCCGATACCCGTTTCCATGCATGTCGACTGTAGGTCCAAGTACCACGGACTCCTTGGCAGCATCCATTGAACACGATGGTTCCTCTGGGTTCAGTGTGAGCACTTGTGTTTTCTTCACATGGAGTTGCAATCTATACGAAAGGCTGTGGGCAACCCCAAGTTCTTGTGAGTGCTGCCACCTCAGAACAGCCTTTCCAACCATCTTAGCTAAATGCAGTGGCTCTGGTCTGTCAACTACCTACCTAATTTGCTCGATTCTAGTTCATCCCATTAGAGAGATTCTGCACCCCTCCCCCATGATCCCATTAAGATGGAGCCTCCCTGAGGGAGGGCCCGTGTCTGCTTTCTTCACTGGCATTCATCTGCCATGCTCGCCACACGAGAGTGTTGTTAGTAAACACCTGCTGATGACTAATACTAGCTGATAATCGTTGTTGTTGTTAGAGGCCACATAGTGACCCACTTCCCGGCCCTGCACCATCCTCACCTTTGTCCCCATTAATAAGAGTTATTTAGCGTTTAATCTACGGCAGGACTCGCCTTAACCACTCTACTTATTGCTGGATCCATTTACCAACCTTGCAGTTTCAGTTACTAGTATTATTTTCACTTTACAGGTGCTCAGCCTCAGGTACAGGGGCTTTCAGTAGCTTACCCAAAGTTGTTCAGCTGAGTCATAAGCTTTGAACCCAAGGAGTCCAGCGCCCGGCTCTGTCATCCAGACGCACGTGCTGTGTGGCCACTGGGCACAGGAATGAATGATGACATGTCCCTGAGCCAGTGAAGGCGTGAATCACAGGGCCCCTGTCCTCAAGGGCCCTCCAGTCCCGAGGGAGAAAACACAAGTCCTAATCCAGAGCGATGGCGCTACAGGGACCGAGGGCTGTGGAAGCTGGTTAGCTCTGCACGGAGCGCTGAGGGAAGTTTTCAGGGAGGAGGAAGCATAGGAACTAGCTTCTGAAGGGCAACGAGGCCTTCCTTCCCAAGTTCCCCAAAGGCTGGTTTTCCTCGTTTCCCGCAGATTCCCCTGAGGGCCCCCAGCCCGCGCTCCTAACCCATGTCCTCCCCCCACCCGCACAGGTCCTCACACCAAAGTCGTGCGGCGCATCTTCACCAACAGCCGGGAGCGGTGGCGGCAGCAGAACGTGAACGGGGCCTTTGCCGAGCTCCGCAAGCTGATCCCCACGCATCCCCCGGACAAGAAGCTCAGCAAGAACGAGATCCTCCGCCTAGCCATGAAGTACATCAACTTCCTGGCCAAGCTGCTGAATGACCAGGAGGAGGAGGGCACCCAGCGGGGCAAGCCTGGCAAAGACCCAGTTGTTGGGGCAGGTGGGGGTGGGGGAGGGGGTGGCGCACCCCCAGATGACCTCCTGCAGGACATACTCTCCCCCAACTCCAGCTGTGGCAGCTCCCTAGATGGGGCAGCCAGCCCAGACAGCTACACCGAGGAGCCTGCACCCAAGCACCCGGCTCGTGGCCTCCACCCTGCCATGTTGCCCGCTGCTGATGTAGCTGGCCCTCGGTGATGAGTCTGGGCCCACCCGGGACCAGCCAGGAGGGCCTCCATAGGCTACTGAGAAGGTGGATTCAGGGCAAGGTGGGGCAAGCCTTGAGCAATGAACTTGAGCTTTCTTTGATGTCCAAACTTTGGGAAGCCCCGGCGGATCCTGGGGCTGGCCTTTCTGTTTCCTACCCCAAGAGGAGAACAGAAACATGGAGCAAAGTGGTAGGTACTTTTTCATGAAGAGGGCACGGTGTTCCCCTCCCCGCCCACTCCCCCCAACCCCTAAGACTTCCCAAGTACGAGGCTCCAGGGTCACGGCTTGGGGCCTGGAGTTTGGGATCCCTGTCTTTGCTGAGACCGGGGACTGTCAGCTCTCCCCTGAGGCGTCCACCAGACTCTGCCCGGCCTTCAGCCCACCCCCCATGCTGGCTGCGGTGGTTTATGTGACCACTTCGGCCCAAATACACAGGTACCCAGTAGTTGTCCATTTCTTAAGCTCCATCTTCACCTGGGCCCACGCAGATCCATCCAGCTCACCAGCTGCTGCAGAGTCCCAGGACTTGAGGTGCCTTCTTCAGGGCCTGGTTGACGAAGATGACCAGTGGACAGCCTGCTCTTGGCTAGCTGGGCCAGAGGGGCACAGAGCCCAGTAGCCCTTACTCCTTGCCCTGGGGATCGAAGCTCTGCTCCGTGACTTAATCCCTGTGGCTGTGAGACTGTGTGTGTGTGTGTGCCCTGTTGGGCTTTGTGCGAAGGCAGAGCAAGGGGCTCTGGGAAAAGGATACAGAGTGAAATGGAGCGAAAGCTCTTCTGGGCATGTGGATTTCACACCCAGCTGCTGTCTCAGAGTGACCCGCCTGATCCTCAGCTGCACGTTGCGGCTCATGCTGTCGGGCACATGCCAGACGACCATGCTGGTGCTGAGTCGCTGCAGCCCCGCCCCGCCTGGGCCTTCTCTGAGCTGCTTACAGGGCCCTCCCCGCCACAGGATGCCCGCTCTTTGAGGAGCTGGCTGCTTTGTGTCCTGAATTGAGCGCAGCCTTTGTCCTGCACATTCCTTGCCTTTGGGACTTTTGTTTCACATCAGTTATTGCTGGGATCTTAGGTCTTGATGGGACCCAGGGGATGGGCGTAGGGAGTCCAATCCAAAACCAGACCCTGGCTGAGACCCAAACACACGTACATTCGCTTGGCAGAATCGGAACCGTCCCTCAACTGTGACTGTCTCAATTGTCAAGAGTGTATATGGGAGGCTGGCTTCTTGAAATAGGAGTTGTCTACCTGTCTCCCTAACCGCCCCTACCCAAATGTTGTACATGCAAGTTTTTATAACTCAAATTTTACCCTTCACCTTTTAAAGAAATACAGCAAGTCCTTTTGTAAAATGACGCATCCTTTTGTAGAGTGGATCACTGCCCCCTTGTCTCTCTCCCATGGGGATCCGAGGGTAGGAAGTGGCTTTTGTGGGCTCAGCCTGCCGGTAGGGTGCATTTCAAGGCCATGGAACCAACTAAACAGAGTCTTCGAGCAGGTCATTGTACCCTCTGGCCATCCCTGGCTTGCCTGTGAGGTCAGAGGAGGGTCATTGCATGGCCCCGTCCTGATGTACAAGAACCCACCCTGGCTGTCGACAAAGCCCCTGGTGGGCCTTGCGTTTCAGCTCAGTGGCTTGCCCGGGCAGCAGTGGGGCCTCAAGTGCGGCCACATGCAGTCAGGGAAATGATCCCTGCCCCCTCCTCCTGCTTGTAAGTCCCACTCCTGGGATGGGGGCACTCTGACTCCCCACCCCACTTCCGGCCCCTCACACTGTGTGTTGATTACAGAGGCACTGATTCCTGTCAAGTGCTTGCAAGGGCCTTGGAGAAATCCCATCCGCCTAAGGACGGGGCACTGTCTGAGGTCCTGACACTGCTTGTGTGCCGCTGGGTTGATTATATTCGGAAGTGAAAAGTTGCCACACTGCGTGGGGGAGCGGTTCTAACACATGGGTTCCACATTCTATCCGGAAGTCCAGTTTCCTCCACCCCCAGACTTGCAGTGTGTCCTGAATAAGTTCGCTGAGCATCAGCCTCTCATCTGACCCTGGCCTGGCCTGCCTCTTACAGACCGTGCATTCAATGGCATCCAGAAAGTGGAAGGGATTTGAAACAGAGGGACTTTGCCCTCAGTATCAGCCCTGCAGGGGGTTTCCCAAGCTGTGGCCAGGCCTGCTTGATGGCACAGCATTCTGGCAATTGAGGTTTTGCCTGAGTTATCTTGACCTTGTTTCTATGGATTGTCCCCATTTCTGTCTCATTCCAAGGCAAGGGACAGGTGCATATGGACGAGGTATGGAATGTGAAATGAGCTCCAATGATCCAAAATGATGCTGAGTTAGAAAGGGGCCAAGCTCAGGCCTTTGTAAGGAAGCACGAAGATCCACCATTTAATGATCCTTTCTGCTCACCACCCAGACCCTTTTCTGCCCTTGATGCCTTCCTTACCACGCCCCCCCCACCCCACCCCCCACCCCCGCGAAATGGGAACAGTCCAAGAATCGTATCCATGTAAAAAGAAAATTCAAGGCAAAAGGAACGTTGCTCTCTGGAATATTCTGAGAACAAAAATGAATGTAATGACAGGAAGGAATCACACTTTAAAAAAAAGAAAGAAAAATTAGTATTCTTTTATTTGTAGTTGAAAATTACAAGATGGTACAACCTTTATCTGTTCCCAAAAAGAAAACAAGGCACAGCTTTGATAGTCATCTTTGGGCCTTTTGGGGGTGGGTCTAGTCGTACTTGTGATTCCAATGGTACGTGGCCCCGGGCCAAAGGCTTGCCCCTGCCCGTGTACATAGTGCAGCATCTCTGCAGGCCCAGTACTCTCTGTCCGTGTTGTACTGTATGTGATGAGTCGGTGGTCTCTGCAGTTTTCTGCAGAAGAGGAGTCACCGCTCAAGGTACCTTGACCTTTGTACGGCTCAGAGGCCAACACTATGGCCATGTGACTCTTTGGCAAACAAACCCATGTGGTGGTGGTGATGATGATGATGATGATGATGTGTGTATATATATATATAAACATATATATATATATGAGGATATATTGGGAAGATTTCTAAATAAACATTTTACAAAGGGTCCTGGACTCTGCTTACCTTTTGCATCCCTAGGCCTGAGAGTGGGGAGGTTGAAGGACAAGCCAGGCAATAAGCTGTCTCACCTCAAATGCAGGGCGCAGTGTGGTGGCTGAACCCTGGCCTTCCGGGACCTGCTCAGTTCCCCACCTTGCAGCCCAAGTGCACTTCTGTCAGTGGAGTGTGGGGTGTTGCTATGCTGCTGAACACGCTTCAGTAGAGCTCCTAGACGAAGACTGGAAGGTCTGGCAGTTGACTTCCAAGACAATCTAAGGAACCCCCTACGAATACAATGGTCTGTTCCACAGCCGCTCATGGTAGGACAGTGTAGGACTGGACAGTGTTTGGCTCTAGTTTGATGCAGTCGCCCGGAGTTGAAGGCGGCTTAATGAAAACTAGCAAGAATAGATAGCAGCCCAGGTGGCCTAGTGGATCACACACCAGGCTCCTAACTGCAAGGTCAGCAGTTCAAAACTACGAGCCACTGCAAAGGAAAAGAATGAGACTTTTTACTCCTATAAAGATGGACAATATTAGAAACCCACAGGGGCACTTCAACTCTGCCCTCTCAGGTCACTGTGAGTCGGAGCAACTTGAAGGCAGTGAGTCAAGTTCACAATAGCAGCCCCTGGAGCTCCTGAGCTGTGCAAACAGTTAATACGCTTTTCTGCTAATTGAAAGGTAAAGCCTTGGAAGAAAGACGTGGCAACTTACTTCCCAAACAGTCAGTATTTGAAAACCCTCCGGAGCACATGGAGTCACTGTGAGCCGGAATGGAGTGGACTGATGGAGGTTAACTGTTCTTGCTTCTTTACCTCCAGTTTGGAGCAGGTTGAGCAGGGAGAGGCTGTCGGCTTGGTGTCCCCTCCTCTCTCCTCGGCAGCTCAGGCTCACAAATGGGCCTTTCCTCGGCAGCGTGCACCCAGGCTTTTAGCCCTGAGCAGCCCCGGTGAACTCTCCTTCTTTGTATTGGACTTGGCTTCCGTAGCTGAGACAGCTGCTTTTATCAGAGGTTTGGCCAGACTCAAGTCACACCAGAAGAGGACCCCAGGCTTTCCCACCCCTCAGTGGAGGCTGCAGCTCTTCTGCCTGCATCTTGATGAGTGAGGGACCCACAGGTTTCTCTTGGGGCTCAATTGGAGATAAGGCTGGAGTCTTTGAAAGCAGTGAGTGGAGGCTCTGGGGCATCCTATCTTCTAGGATATCTTCCCTTGAGGCTCAGTGATTGGAAAGCCATTCAGAGGGAGGGCTCAGGGTTCTGGGGAGCTTGCTGAGGGTGGACTCAGGTGTTCAGAGACTTCAGTAGGTCCAGCAGACACTTCTGATAGAAGGCCAATCCTTTCTTCTTTCTTTCCCTTATTTAACAAATATTTATCGAGCAACTAGGAGGAGCTGGGTAATTGTGTTCAAATTGTGATGCAAACGATTACTATGCTCTGCTGCTAACTGGAAAATGAGCAGCTTGCGTCCACCCAGCAGAGACGCGGAAGAAAGACTTGGCAACCTGCTTCCCCAACTCAACCCCCGAAAGCCCGTGGGGCACATGGCACCCCTGGAAGCTGGATTGGACGTGACTGGTGGCAGCTGTTCTGCTCTCCAACCTTGAGCCTGAGCCCGGGATGTGTGAGGTCTCCACCCTTAGAAACAAGGACGTTGGGATTTCCCCCTCACTTTGACAACATCGCCAGTTAAGACCAGCAGCTAGAAAAGTGGAGGGTAAACAAGAAGGCTAACGAAAACGAGGCAATCCTCGTGGAGATGGATTGACAGAGCAGCCACAGCGATGCCCTCAAACAGGACGCTGGTGCAAGACTGGGCAGCTTTCCTTTGCGCTGTCCGGTCGCTGGGAGTTGGAGCTGGCATGGGGCAACTAGCAACAGCGTGGTTCGAGGTCCCAGGGATCTAACCATGCACAAAGCAGGTATGTTCTTGTGGAACTGAAATCTAGCAGGGGATACAGTAAACACACACACACTGACATACTCAGTAAGTAGATTGGTTACATGGTGAGTGATGGCAGAGTGGTGTCAGAGGCATTGGGCACGAGGAAGTGGATAGCTAAATACGTAGGCTGGCTGTAGGGTGAGTGAGAGCGTGAATGGTACTTAGGGAAGGAGTTGTGTCTGCAGGAACTCAAAGGACCACAGATGGCTCTGGCTCCTTCGGGGTAAGTATGTTCACCCTAAAAGGCTCAGAGGGGCAAGGTGATCTGATCCTGGTTTCCCACTGTGTCTAGGGGGGCCAAGGCAGGCCAGAGCTTGAGGATCATGCTCCAGCTTGTAAGGAAGCTTCTAGGGGTTTGGAAGACATCAGAGTACTCTTTCTAGCCCAGGGCAAGGAGGGACTTGGGAAGCAAGGAGGGTGACAGCCAGCTCCGGAGCGAAGAGAGCCGTGAAACCGCTGTGGCCCTGAGGTGGTGGGGCTCTGCACGTCAAGCCTGGGCAGAGAGCCCAGATGTAGGGGTCCAAGGAGCAGAACGATGAAGGGACTTGCCTTTAAGGGCTTAAGACAGACAGGAAAGAAAGGGAGAGACTAAGCGTGGGGAGGGAGGAGACCCTGGGAGAGTGGTGTTTTCGGAGGCACCGGGGCACGAGGAAGTGGATAGCCAGGTGCAGTGCAGCTGGGAGTTCAAGCAAGAGTGTTCTGAGGCATTGACTGGCGTCAGCAACATGGAAGCCATGATGACTTTGGTAGATCCGTGTTGGGAGAAAGATGGAGGCAGCAGCCTGGCTGTAATGGACTGAGCAGGAGAGGAGCAACCTGCCCCCAGACCTTTCTCAGGAGAGAGGTGGGCACGCCGTGTTCAGAGTGCTTAGAAAGATCCAGCAACCAACTGTCTTCACCAAGGCCAAGAGTATGAGGCTAAAGAAGGTTCTGGCTGGTCAGGACCTTAGGTACCGTCTGGGCTAGTGTGCACATCTTGATGTGGGGAAGTTGAGACCCAGAGAAGAAATGGGTCTTTCCAGGACCCCACATCCCATAAACAGGCAGTGACAGGTAGGATAGGACAAGGCCTCTAGCCTCCCAGGGCAGTGCTACCCCATGGGGCACTTGTCTCTGCCTACCATGGGGAAAGGGCTACACCCTGGAGCCTTTTCTGAAATAGCCCTGCTGATCTCTCCAGCCTCACTTCGCATCACCCCCCTTCATTCTCTTTGCAATTGTGTCGTCCGTCCTTCCTGTTGGCCACCCCTCCACCCCTAGTCCCTTTTTAAATAACCTTGAAGTGTGTGCCCTAGCTATTTCTTTTGCATGGGACAGTCTACCCAT